ACTAAAGTGCTCGAAAAGACAAATCCAACGAACCCAAATTCGATGCGATGCCGCCGTTTCATTTAGGAGTTCTTATGGCCACCTCATGACTCCATCATCAAACCAGCTCAATGGTACCATAACATTGCATTGTCATCGTACCTACATAAGTATACCAAATTTCAGCTCAATCGGTTGAGGAAAACTGGTCTTAAATTCAGTTGCAAGTGTTATCCCACACATACTAACAAGTGTCGTTAGTGACCTGGTTACAAAAACTGTTGTTTTGGGTTTTGGAAGTTCTGGAAGCCCGAACGTACTTGTCAGAACGCGTTTTTCTAGCGTTTTTCAACGTGCCTGCTGTATCTTTTTTGTAAATAGTAGGTACTGGATTAACGATTAACGGACTTAGGATAATTTAACGGAAGTTAACGAGTCCGTTAACATTTTTTAAAGTTAACTTAAAAGTTAATCCGTTAATAGAAATGTTAACTTCGTTAATTAACGATTAACGGATTAACGAGTTAATGCCCAGCTATGGTGTTAAGGCTAAATGTGAAATTTCATTAAATTCGTTTTAGTAGGTCAGAAGATATGACCCAAAAATATGGTCCTGTGAAATCTATTTTTTTTTACTTACGCCAGTTGGTATACGTAGGAGCCATCGAAATGAAACGAATGAAGATTGATTGTTTGAAACATAAACTTCTTCAAACTTGAGTTTACTTTAGATCTGGAAGCACGAAATTATTTCGTGTTTTACCAAGTTTGGTTGAATGAAAATAATGACACACAAAGAAAGGAACAATTATTGATACAATTACAATGGCGGTTCACAAAGATTTCAAACAGATCGTCACTTAAATTATCACAAATCCACACGAATTCATACGATAGAAGAATACGCTTAAACTCTTTAATTTTCTTATATGTAGATCCGACCCAACCTATTCCATTTTCTTTGTCTTGTACCGATACGCTTATAGAAAGCGCTACAACTCATCTCGTAGATATACCAGTATATTAATAATTACCTGAATTAATTACAATGTCTGTGTGTGACATGCAACCTGGCGGGCATATTAAAAGCACTTGCCGACAGCGTTGCAGATTGCGACGTCGCACACACCGCTGCCGCGAGTGGCATACTAAATTCTTGGTGAATCAGTGAAGTGAATTTTTAGTATGTATTACATACCTATGTATAGGCTGGTATTTGGACGTTAACTCACCCGATGTTACAAGAATGTAAAAAATAGCATTCATAAAAAACTACTTACCTATGTTTAATAGATATTTAATGTGTGGCTCTATGTGCTGTAGATTGGGATGTGTACTTCTGCTCAATAACAACCTTATTATTAATCTCGTGAAACAATTAATAAATATTTGCCAAAAAGCTCTTAGAACTTAATTTACCCATTAGGTATTTGTGTATAGGATAAATAGACTACCTACTGAAAGTCGTCTGGATTTTCCTTATAAGTATTTTCAAAAACTAAGAGGTATCTACTTTATAAAATAATATGAAAAACGAAAATGTTTCGTTATTTAGGAAAAATAACAAGTTGGATGTTTGGAATGTGTCCGTGTGACACAAACACAATTGTCTTCAGCAGAAACGGTTTAATTGCGTATGTAGTGATAGCCGATAACTGACCTATAGGTTACTCAAGTTATCTTGACCACTCTGCGCTCAGGCATTCGTTTATGAAATCTAGATAGGTTTTCCAGAGCTTGAAATGAGAGCTCACACGTTGTTTACCATTAGAACTGAAATTTATGCGATCCTTCTGTTTGCTTCGCCATACGAGTAAGTACCATGGTAACTAATATTAAAACTGTCTACTACACTTGTTGGTTTGTTCAGTGGATTTCATTTTACAATTTGGCGGCAACCTGTATTGCGGAGTTTGTACAACTTTACTCTAGAGCACAGAGATGTCTAAAAGTACAATAATTTTAGGAAAAGTACCTATATTTATATTTCTTATTTTTATCTGTGATTTAACCTGGTATAAAATAAATAACCGCTCAATAAGGATAAATACAGGAAAAGAGAGTTTCTGAAACTGTTTACTCAACTACTAAAGGTAACGATAATATTTCCGTGTCTGTATTATTGTATAAATATGAGTTATTGAGTTAGTTCTCCACAATGTTTATTTCCATTTTCTGCCTTTTTATTGAAAAAACAAAGTGAGCCTGCCATTTTGTATTAAAAAGTAATAAATCTAATGGACTACACAGGAAATTTTTAGTGTTCCGTAGCCAAGCACAAAACAGAACCCTTATGTTTTTCATTTTTATTTGCGACTTTGATTCAGTCCGTGTGCTAATGTTAATAATTCTAAGCATTGAATCTTATTTTATCCACTGGTTTCAATAGGAATGTAAAATTAAATATAGAAATAATTTATAGTGATGCAGTAGTTACTTAAAATAATACTTACGCCTCGTTCCCGAAATTTGAATAACGAGATTTCTCAACAAAGGCCGTAAAATTTTTATTATACTTCAGCGCTTGAACTATTTTCATTTTGCATTTGACGACTGCTCAATGGATATAAATGTTGCTAAACTTTCGAACTGCGTGCGTTTGCTTCTACCAAAGCGTTTTTTAAATGAAATTATGTTTTAAATAAAAAATACGAGTAAATTAGAATTGATTAGTTAACGCCATTCCAAATAAGGACATTTTGCGTCGTCTTATCTATGTTTGCGAATGGCTCAGTTGCTGTCAAAATTATTTTCTTTCCTATGCTATGGCGACTATCGGACAAATAGGCAGCATTTACTCAGCATTGTTACTTAGTGTCAACAATAAAAATTCTCTATTTTCCTCCGGCAAATTGTAGAGGGTTATGTTTTTGTAATGATAATGAAAAATGCTAGACTTTTAAAACAAAATCGGGGCTACCTCCGATGTTGCAACTTTTGAGTAGCGATTACTTGCATACTAATAAAATTGCGCGAAAAGTGGGACGCGGCTGATTCTCTATTCCACTACACTTCACTCGATAAAAATAGAAGTAATTGTTAGACACTTCGATTTGAAACGATTCGTTTGGTTCAGTGAGATCAAAAGGAACAACGAATTCCAATTATTTATAACTAGCGGCCGCCCGCGACTTCGTACGCGTGGATCCCATTTTACCCCCTTCATCTATCTTACGCGGTTTAGATTTTTTCATACAAATGTTTTTACCCGCTAACTCCCGTTCCCGTTGGAATTTCGCAATATCCTGTTGTAACTAAGCTTTAAGTTTACTAAGAGACCTTCATGCCAAATTTCAAGCGTCTAACTTAAGCGGTTTAGATTTTTCATACAAAAGGATTTTCCCGGTAATTCCTGTTCCTGTGGGAATTTCGGGAATTCTTTACTTAGTGCACCTCTACGGTACCTAAGCTACGTCCCTTATAAATTTCAAGTGCCTACGTTTAGCCGTTTAGGCTGTGCGTGGGTATGTCAGTGAGTCAGTCATACAAAAGGAATTTCCCGCTAATTCCAGTTCCCGTGGGAATTTTGCAATATCCTGTTGTAACTAAGCTTTAAGTTTACTAAGGCACCTGCATGCCAAATTTTAAGCGTCTAACTTACGCGGTTTAGATATTTTTATACAAATGTTTTTTCCCGCTAACTCCCGTTCCCGTGAGAATTTTGCAATATCCTGTTGTAACTAAGCTTTAAATTTACTAAGGTACCTGCATGCCAAATTTCAAGCGTCTATGTTACGTGGCTTAGATTTTTTCATACAAATGTTTTTTCTCGCTAATTCCCGTTCCCGTAGGAATTTTGCAATATCCTGTTATAACTAAGCTTTAAGTTTACTAAGGTACCTGCTTGCCAAATTTCAAGCGTCTAACTTAAGCGGTTTAGATTTTTCATACAAAAGGATTTTCCCGCTAATGCCCGTTCCCGTGGGAATTCCTAAGTATCCTATAACCTGCCCAGGAGTATGAAGAATAATTGTACCAAGTTTCGTTAAAATCCGTCAAGTAGTTTTTGTTTCTATAAGGAACATACAGACAGACAGACAGACAGACAGACAAAAATTTTACTGATTGCATTTTTGGCATCAGTATCGATCACTAATCACCCCCTGATAGTTATTTTGAAAATATATTTCATGTACAGAATTGACCTCTCTACAGATTTATTATAAGTATAGAAGATGGTGACGGTACCTACCTATCTAATTTTGATTTACAAGGTAAGTAGGTCCTTACATTATTTTTTTCGTGTCTAATGTCTAATGGATAATAATAATCTTAGATTGTAATTAAAGTAAGTACCTACTTACCTATCTGGAGATAGGCACGTTTTAAATTAGTAAAATCCATTTAGTATCGCTGTCTACGAGATCAAATTTCCCAAATACTTGAAGAGTCATCGCAACATTATTTACCAAATGAAAGTAATCCATTTAAACGTTCATTTCAATCTAAGTACCTCTTTGTTTAGTCGACCCTTCATTTCGGTATTGACTTGAAATTGTGAAAATCGTTTAATTTACGTTTACACGAAATTGACGCTTAAAAATATTATGAGTGAAAAATATGTAGAGTTTTTATAATATCTAGTAGAGTGCCATGACTTATTAAGGTTGTACGTTTATTGAAGATCGTGAGAACTACGAAGATCGTGATGGAGACTTCAAATTTGGATCTGATAACGGCTGAAGTAATCCATTGATTATTGAATTTCAAATGGCCTGAGTAGATTGAAACCTCTACTATAGCTATAAAGTAGAACTGGAAATGTGTAAGCTATGATAAAAAAAATACGTTAATATTATAAACCAATGCTACTATTGACAGAAAAAAAACATCACAAAGCTTACAAGGAAATTGCAATCGAGTTGTTCCATTTAAACTCGATTGCAATAATAAATAAAGCTTTTTGCTATCGCGCCACTGTCACCGCGACACAGATAGACGACGCTCGGGCGAAACTATGTCGTTTTGTGGAAAACTCGTCCTAAATATAGGCGGATTATTTCTGACGCGTCGTGTCGCGTGCGCCGTCGTCCAAACACATTACTGACGGTCGCGCGGTCGGTCACTCACAACATTACGCCGGTTTTATACATCACTAACTCTAAACTGAACTTCGGATAATTACAATGACGCCGCCGAAACATAAACTAATTAAGGTTTATTGGCACTAACCGAACGCGAATTTGACGGTGATTAACTGTGGTTAAAAGTTGATCGGTTATGGATATGAAATGATCGGATACGATGGGTGCGAAGATTTTGTGTTTTGTAGTAGTGGCAGCAGCTTATGTTTTTGCAGAGGATTTACGGATTGGTTTGTATTATCTCTATCTTTTCAATTAATAAAGCAAAAGGCTTTGATGCTTAATAAATTAATAACAGTTATTAAATAAATTAATAACTAATTCTAAATGTGGAGTTAATGCTTTCCAGTTATAATTTAAAAATATCTCCTTGGCATGATTCAGCCACAGTATTTTTTAACTATGACCATGCATTCCAGTCGACGTATTGTGTAGTCTACAATATGTACATCGATTAGTAAACAAAACGTCAAAACCCATTGCTTACTGTAAAGCGAACGTGAATAAACCTCTGATGTACAAGTAAATTAAATAATAACCGTAGCAATGTAATATGAAGAAAATGTACTTACTGTAGCGCACAAATGTACAATTTCAAAGCCAAAGAAATTACTTTTTATTCGAAGCATGAAAAAAAATATTTTCGGATTTTAAATCAAGATAATTTTTTCATGTTGCTTTCCCATGATTTCTATATTATGGATTTGTAGGAAAGGGCAGGAAACGTGAACATTAACAACAAATAATTTTAAAGTCGTACACAAATTCATACAACCCTAGACAAATAGAGCTAATATATACATATTTTTAACAACACAAGTATTAGTCAATGCTATAAGTACGTGTTTTAGTCTTCCAAAATTGTTTAAAAATCTATCCATCCCTGATTCCAGGGGGTATCTTCTACGAAGATGCAGAGGACCTGAAAGAGGCGTTCACTCTCAGCGCTAAGCTAGCCAACTTCACGCCTACAATCAAGGAGGTCTCCAAGAGAGGGGAGATCCTCGAAGTGAGGACGCACGTCTGCGAGCTTGCTGACGTGAGTATCGTTTGTTCGATTCAGCCAAATGACGTCCACCGCTGGACAAAGGCCTCCCCCAATGATTTCCATAACGACCGGTCCTACGCTTGCCGCATCCAGGCTCTTGCAGTGACCTTCGCCAGATTGTCAATCCACCTAGTGGGGGGGCTTCACTAAGTCGGGCCGGAACCGTGGTCGTCACTCCAGAAGTTTTCTGCCACAAAGGCCACTATGCCACACACTTTTTGGTAGCATTGTCTCATCATACCTGAATTTAATCGCTAGTATGTCATGTCATGTTTAAAATAGTGGCCTTATTTCATTACTGATGTTCAAGCTGTAGCTACACAGAACTTGCAGTAGTAGAAACGAGAGCTGGAAATAGTCCCGTTGTCATACCTGGAGGACTAATGTAATTTGATTTATCACCAAACTTTTTAATAATGTTGATAAATTGTATTTACTTACTTTGCATAGTTTTTTTTTTTTTTTTTAGTTTGTGGCAACCAAACCTCTCTGGGAGGTTTATTTCTGCCAATGTCGAGTGAAAAATATTGACATAGTTATCAATAGAACGTGGGTGTTTCAGTTCTATTGATTTTTCATGGATTCGGTGGAGTTAAGTATGCCCGTAAGCAGGTTTCGAGACGCCACCGGGTCCAAAGCGGGTTGTTCATACGACAACCCACTCGACACTCGATGCGCGCTCAAATTCGAAGTATTTCAATGTTTTTTATAATTTATCACTTCACTGCACTTTAGAACACAAAATAACACCAAATTTGTACACTAAAGTCCATTAAATAATAAATTGAAACCATTAAAACAGATCGACCATGCTTCCCGTTCAACTACCCTCCACGGAATCCCTTTGCATAGTTTGCCTCAACCACAAATATGGATAGATGAAGCATGTGTCAAAAATTGTATGAAGCCGAGCGTGTCACTTTTTAAACGTCATTAGTGTCATTTTAGCGAATTTTAGTGATTGCCGCAACGTAAAAGTAATCGTATCATCGTACTGCATTCACAAAGTCATCGAATGGTATAGTATGACTCGATTCGAAAATTAATTAATTCCGATAAAACTGATATTTTATTAAATTTATAGCTAGTCTGACTGTGGATTAAAATAATTTTGTAGCGGTAGACGTTATTCTACATTATTTATTTTTGTTGTGCCTAATGTTTATGAAAGTAATGATCGTTATTCCATTATGTTAAATAGTACTACTAGTAATTCATTCATAAAATAAAGACTATTCACTCAAACTTTTTATTTTTAATAAATGTAAAAATGCGTAGTTTTGCCAATACGTTTTGTTTCATAAAGCTAAGTCAGGTACCTAGTTTTGAAGATTTTTCTAAATGACAAAATTCAATGTGGTAAAAAACGTTGGAAGTAAAATGAAACACAAAAGATTTTTCTTCATAATTATATTATAAGTGCAATGAATAGTATTGTGCTTTAAGACAAGCCCTATAAAATAATCAAAACAAATCAAAAGGTTTGAATAAAATTGTTCTTCCGCCGTCATTTATAAAAAAGGTAATGGCAAAATTATAGAACTTCCTTAGGCAGATGCCTCTACTCTGTCTATTTCAAAAAGTCTGGCACTAGGGGTTTCCCGGGGGCCCGATACAAAACCAAAAACATCTTTATTTTTCTTTTTAAATANTTTTTTTTTAGTTTGTGGCAACCAAACCTCTCTGGGAGGTTTATTTCTGCCAATGTCGAGTGAAAAATATTGACATAGTTATCAATAGAACGTGGGTGTTTCAGTTCTATTGATTTTTCATGGATTCGGTGGAGTTAAGTATGCCCGTAAGCAGGTTTCGAGACGCCACCGGGTCCAAAGCGGGTTGTTCATACGACAACCCACTCGACACTCGATGCGCGCTCAAATTCGAAGTATTTCAATGTTTTTTATAATTTATCACTTCACTGCACTTTAGAACACAAAATAACACCAAATTTGTACACTAAAGTCCATTAAATAATAAATTGAAACCATTAAAACAGATCGACCATGCTTCCCGTTCAACTACCCTCCACGGAATCCCTTTGCATAGTTTGCCTCAACCACAAATATGGATAGATGAAGCATGTGTCAAAAATTGTATGAAGCCGAGCGTGTCACTTTTTAAACGTCATTAGTGTCATTTTAGCGAATTTTAGTGATTGCCGCAACGTAAAAGTAATCGTATCATCGTACTGCATTCACAAAGTCATCGAATGGTATAGTATGACTCGATTCGAAAATTAATTAATTCCGATAAAACTGATATTTTATTAAATTTATAGCTAGTCTGACTGTGGATTAAAATAATTTTGTAGCGGTAGACGTTATTCTACATTATTTATTTTTGTTGTGCCTAATGTTTATGAAAGTAATGATCGTTATTCCATTATGTTAAATAGTACTACTAGTAATTCATTCATAAAATAAAGACTATTCACTCAAACTTTTTATTTTTAATAAATGTAAAAATGCGTAGTTTTGCCAATACGTTTTGTTTCATAAAGCTAAGTCAGGTACCTAGTTTTGAAGATTTTTCTAAATGACAAAATTCAATGTGGTAAAAAACGTTGGAAGTAAAATGAAACACAAAAGATTTTTCTTCATAATTATATTATAAGTGCAATGAATAGTATTGTGCTTTAAGACAAGCCCTATAAAATAATCAAAACAAATCAAAAGGTTTGAATAAAATTGTTCTTCCGCCGTCATTTATAAAAAAAGTAATGGCAAAATTATAGAACTTCCTTAGGCAGATGCCTCTACTCTGTCTATTTGAAAAAGTCTGGCACTAGGGGTTTCCCGGGGGCCCGATACAAAACCAAAAACATCTTTATTTTTCTTTTTAAATAAATTAATTCTTACAAATCGTCAAATCTCATTATTTTTTTCACCCTACCAGCGATTCAATACAAAAACTTGTCTGGTGTATGAATACACGAATCTGTGTGTGTCATAATGTTATGAGTAAGTACGGTTCCTTGGGATCAGTATGAGTGCACCACATACATTACTCTTAATAGTACATCGCAGGATATGTATTAAAAACAATCCTACTTTATACTTCTTCTACTGCTACTTTATTCTAATTAATTATTTGTTACTTGTGCTGTTAATTACAATTCTCAATCCGTAAATAATTTCTTCCTTCTACCGTGTTCCTACTACTGTCCTCGTAAAATCATCGTAACCGATTGTTGTAATCGGATCACATGAACATCACTCGACCATGTATGTCCATTTGGACATATCGGAATGGCACGCTTTGACGAGCAACTTGCTGCATCTACTCTAATCCATATCTGTGGCCTCAACTGTTATCGTTGGCTCCGTTTACCGCTGTCACGGGAGAAAATTCCGTACGGTATGCACACTAAGCTACTTGAGCCACACACATGTAATATTAATTTGCTTCTTTCGTTTGTTACTACACCAAGTAATCCTTAGATTAAGGTGAAATTAAACTTTTGGCTTCGAAATTTTATGGTACACTTCATGAGTCTGTTATACTGTTTTGTGCTCTACAGAGGCGCCAACTGATGAGCGTGTAAAATATGGGTTATACAGCTTGAGAATAATTGAAAAATTGTTACAGGAATTTTCACGTGTTCTTAACCAAGTTGCAAATTATATGTAGATAGATTTAAATCTCAAGAAAAAACTTTTTCAGGAAGGCGTGATAGGAATAATAGATGGCGTTGGAGGCCGAGGGAGCGAGATCATCCAGTCTCTCTGCGATATCATGGAGCTGCCGCACGTGTTGCTTCGGTACGACTTCACGTATCCCAACGACTGGTCGCTTTTGAACTTGTACCCCAGCCCAGAAGTTTATAATAACGTAAGTGACAATGTAAAAGTTATTTATTGCAATTAGGCCTTATGTCCTAGGTACCACTGCCTTGGGTCAACAGGTAAAGGTAGTGGGAAATGGCTGAAAGCACTTCAGAGATCTCACTATTTTCAATCAAATTATTATTGGGTAGGCCTATGTTCAGCAGTGGACGTCCTATGGCTGAAATGGTGATGATGATGATGAACTCAAATCATAAGTAATTTTTTCAATAGTTTTATAAATAGACTTTTTGAATAGACAGGTAGAGTCTCCAATAGTTCGTGTCAATTTATGGAACATGCATTTTTCCAAATACGAATTAATTACCAACATTGAAAAGGCACAAAATGTACATTTTATACGAGATCAATCTGTAAATGGAAAACCATAGCAAACGAGTTATCAGCCTTCAGAAATAGTCAAACACAATAAATAGTCATAAACAAATAGGTACACAGAGTTCTTGGGCTCATTCAGCCTTACTAAAACAACTTTAGAAAAAGTACATCATTACGCTTGAATTCGCGAAGAAATACATACGTATAATGTGTGGGTAATTTATGTGAGGTGGATGATTGATGCGAGTTTCAACAAAGTATCTAAGACACCTCAACACAAAAACATCCAACAATGGAAAGTTTACAAAGGCAAGAGATATTCATTGAGCTTTCTGGGCTTTCTGTTAACGACTTAAAAATGAACTTGAATCAAGCCCGACAGAATATAATTTACTTTGTTAAGAACTTTTTATTTAGAGTCAAGTCCTTTTGATAATAGGCTCAAATACCTGCTTTTAAATACAGTTCTCATGTGAACGGTTCCGTACCCAAAGACTAAAAGCGAGACCGCAATACTGAGACTCCACTGTCCGACTATCTGTCACCAGGCATGACTATCTGCCACCATGAACGTGATAGCTAGACAGTTATAATCACATAAATGATGTATTTCTGTTGCTGCTTTAACAGTCATCATCATTTCAGTCAATAGGATGTCCCATAATGAACATAGGCCTCCCTCCAATGATTGCCATGTTGATCGGTTGGTAGCGGCCTGCGTCCAGCGCCTTCCTGCTACCTTTATGATGTTGTCGGTCGTATAACAATACTAAAAACAAAATAAAATAAATATTTAGGTGGAGCTCATACCTTAATTTCAAGAACAAACTATTTACATACTCAAGTTTGTATGAAACACCTCGGTGCGCGAGTTATTTAAAATAACTTTGACTGTATGTACGCAGGTGGTAGAACAGTTAGTACTGCAGAAGCAGTGGAAAAACTTCACGCTGCTGTACATACGAGGACGCAGTTTGTTCCGACTGCACAGCTTGCTGCAAATGGGCAACGACACAGACAGGTTGACCATTGGGGTGAGGGAGCTCAGCGGGAGCGATTATAGGTAAGCAAATATAGGCCACTAGCTTTCCGCCCGCGGCTTCGCCCGCGTGGAATTTTGTCTGTCACAGAAAAACTTTATCGCGCGCGTCCCTGTTTCAAAAACCGGGATAAAAACTATCCTATGTTCTTTCCCGGGACTCAAACTATCTCTATGCCAAATTTTATCAAAATCGGTTGCGAGGTTTAAGCGGGAAAGCGTAACAGACAGACAGACAGACAGACAGACAGACAGACAGACAGACAGACAGACAGACAGACAGAGTTACTTTCGCATTTATAATATTAGTTGGGATGGGATAAAGATAGTAAAAATACAACCTGATTCTGCCTAAAATCATATCAACATTATTCCACATACTCGTACCTACATTGTAAGTCCGCGATCAACTCTGAATCTCTAACCAAAACCATAAATAAAGCATGCTATTCCTAAACAAATGATAACCGTTTATCTGCGCCTTCAGTTATTTTGTGATAAGTCCTTTTCCCAGGTTCAATCTATGTGTAAAGTAAATTGGATCAGCGGCTTAAATAACCAAACCGTAAATTAGTTTTCCACGTAGGTAAAGAAAGCAAGTACCTAAAGAAAATGTTGGTTCAAAAAATATTAAAAGAAAAAAGAAGGAAAATCGTTTCCAATATCTATAAGCTATATCTAGGTTTTCATTCCAATCAAAATATATCTTCATAGACTGAAAATGATGATGATAAAATTACTGAAACTTCTTGTTTTCTGAAAACTTACACGCGAAAGCTATCGAAACTAATAACTCGATAACCTCGAGTTTAGTAACCCTAAAAACAAACACTCTTTAGAAACAGTGACATGCAAGTTCACGAGGTTGATCTATTTATATTTTCATTGATAAAAGAAGCTCGTCACTGGCTGGTTTAACTGTGTTAGGAATTGACACAAATATTGACACAAAGCAAAATTATCGATTAAAAAGTACCGGTGAGCACCGGTGAGTACCGGTGAGTACCGGTGAATACCAGTGAGTACCTTTAAGTACCAGAGAGTACCTGAGAGTACCTTTAAGTACCAGAGAGTACCTGAGAGTACCAGAGAGTACCAGTGAGTACCAGTGAGTACCAGTGAGTACTAGTGAGTACTAGTGAGTACTAGTGAGTACTAGTGAGTACTAGTGAGTACTAGTGAGTACTAGTGAGTACTAGTGAGTACTAGTGAGTACCAGTGAGTACCAAAGAGTACCAGTGAGTACCAGCAGTCTGCTTGTGACCACGCCCCGGCTGTGTGGGACATAGCCGTGGCCACAAGCAGACTGCTGGTGACTCGGCCCGGTTCCTCTATTTTAATAATATAACGAGTTTTGAACGCTCGATAAGTCGATATGTTAGATAGTTATAGATAAGCAAGCACAAAACATTACCTAACAATCAATGAGGGCTATCGTTTTTATACTTAACTGTTGGCACCCCTGGCGATTGACAGGACCTTACTCTACAGTGGCGCCATCTTGTTGAGTGCAAATGCGATAGTCCTCCTACCACTTTAGCGTTCACAAGTTGGCGCCACTGTCTTCGCTACTAGCAAGTGACAGGACCTTACTCTACAGTGGCGCTAACTGGTGAGCGCTAAAACGATAGCCCTCATTACCTTCTAGGGACGTCCTAATAAACGCTAAAGACAATGGCTACGTGAACTTCATAGTAGACTGCCCTTCGAGACACCTGGAGCAGTTACTCCGGCAAGCTCAGCAAGTCGGGCTTATGGCTGATGAGCACTCCTACATCATATTATCACCGGATTTGTTCACCTTGGACATGGAACGGTATAGGTACGGTGGAGTTAACATGACTGGTAAGTCTGATCTTCAATAATAATGATCTAGATAGGACCTTCATTAAAATATTATTGTTGAATAATTTCAGTAATTCTACCTACATCTTGTATGTTTTGACGAAATATGTATTAAACGAAAATTACTGTTATCAAAAGTTTATAGTATCTTTAATTCATAAGTAATTTAAAAATATATCTGCAAAAATTAAATTATTATTCGGCAATCGTACATATTAAATTAAATCGTAAATTTTATGCATAATTTATATTTCCGTCAATGACGCGGTTATTTCCTGAAACATTTATAAACTGTAGCTACTTCGACATCAAAATTGAATTACAGCTTCATACTCTAGTCGTGGTGTAATAAGATTACTTACTACATTGCGCATTGATTAAAGCAATTTGTAGACATAGAAACAACTGAACGTAACATTCTCGGGCGTATGCGAATCTACTAATGAATTCCATTGAAATTCAATTAAACTGTGATAGGTTTTAGGCTAATGGATTTGAAGACAAGCGAGAACCTTTGGGAATTCACCAATCATTATAACGCTGAGACTGGGAAAACGCTCCAACCTGAACAGTTGAAAACAGAACTGCTGTTAGTGTATGACGCTATGAAGGTAAAAAAGACTTTTATGATACCTACTCATACTCGTATTATGATTTCAAATTTACTTCAATTTATACAGGGTGGAAACGATAAACTATATGAAACAACTGTTTACTGATCCTGAAAGTCCAAAACTTCAATTCATTCCATACATTTATTTATTCCACTTATCTTTTCCACCCTGTATTTTTAAAACAAGCTGTTCAGAATTACGTTAAAAAGTTGCACGTATAAATGGCATCGTTTCTTTGCGTTGAAAACATAGAAAATGACGACGTTGTATGTTATTCGCTGGTTCAGAATAATATCCGAATGAACACATTTTGAACCAGATATGAACATATTATAACGTTGCCATTTTAGTCCTGCTGGTCACATTACATTATGAGAGTTATGCCCGTTTTCACCATCAATCCCTAATTTTTAAGTGAACCCTATGAAAACTTTCATATTATTTGTTACCATAGGGGTCACTTTAAAATTAGGGATTGATGGTGAAAACCCAAGGTGAAAACGGGCATTAGTTTATCAACATTGTACGTACGGGCCTCGGGCATTGCTGTTCATCGCTCGCTTTTAATTGACTAAAATGTATTGTGGAGTATCGAATGTAACTTTATTAAAGGCAAACTTTAAAGTGGCACTACCATAAATACAAAAATTAAATTAATTTAATTTACCGCCCTGTTTATGGAAGTTTTTGGCTTTGCAGGTATTCGAGGCTGCATTGAAAAAGCTTCAAACTCTCACAGTGCAGTCGTTGAAATGTGAAGACTTCGAAGCCTGGACATACGGGTCATCTTTACAGAATTTTATGAAGACGGTAAGAAACTACTAATTAGATAGCACGGCACAACTAGTTGATCAGATAAAATTATAATGCAGTGTTTATTCCTGGTTGCAGAATAAGGTGGAAGGTTTAACAAGAACTTTATTATTTAACGGACTGGGAGATCGAACTGACGTTACCTTTGATGTGCTGGAGTTGACGTCATCGGGTAACCAAACGGTACTAATGAACGCATAAACTTTTTTGAAATACCTCAATTACTTACCTAATTATATTTTTGACATGTGTGCAGATTGGAACATGGAAAGCGAATATTCTAGAAATTACACGTCCTAAAATACCTGATGGTGAGCTGACAGAGAACACTGCCCTTACAAACAAGACGCTGAAAGTATTAATTACGACGGTAAGTAAGTAATAAAATATATAACGTATTATATGAACAATTTACAAGGTGTGGCCGTCACTCCGCATGCTAACCAGACGGGTTTGAGGAAGCATATTATACTCTACAAACTACTTAATACGTATTATGCTAATTATTTTTAATTAACCCTTTCCAGACAGGTCCATACGGCTATTTAAAAGACTCTGAACACAATTTGGTCGGGAACGACAGGTACGAAGGGTTCTCAATTGATCTAATTGCGAAGATCGCCGAAATCTTGGGATTCAGTTATGAATTCGAAGTCGAAGAGGACAATGGAAAGATTGTCAATGGGAAATGGACCGGCATGCCTCGGAAACTAATGAACGACGTAAATATTCAACTGATATTTTTAACGCGATTTTAAAATGATCTCTTACATATTTTTACAATAAGTATCTGATTTGATTTCGTTCGTTACGTTTGTTTAACGTATTAGAAATATCAACCAATTCTTCAGATCGCAGGTAGTTGTGGATTGGGTTTTTTATGCATGCTATTACTAAGCGTTACAAAACAGTAGATTTTTGTCTTGGAATGATGGTAATTTTTATACTAAGATAATGAAGATAAACGTACATACATACCTACTGGATTTCTATAAGATGGCCAGTTAGTCGTAAATATCTACAATTACTCCTTTTTCTAAGCTCCTTTAGCTGGCAATATCAGGCTGCAAAAATTTTTCATTACAGCAACTTATATTTAATTTGCATGTTGCAGGATGCCGACCTAGCTATTTGCGACTTCACGATCACCGCTCTGCGTCAAAGTGTGATAGACTTTTCTACTCCGTTTATGAGTTTAGGTATTGGAATATTGTATAAACAGCCCAGCAAGCAACCGCCCGAGATGTTTTCCTTCATGGCAGTCTTCTCTAAAGAGGTTTGTTGAAATAGTTTACGTTGGTAATGTAAGCATGCTCTTATAATACTCGTATTTACCACGTTAGATACCTATGTTTTTTCAAAAACTTAGCTTTCTTTTAAAAAAATACTGAGGAATAAAAAGTATCTAGTGGTAAGGTTATAAGAGTATCTATTTCAGTTTTTGGAAATAGTTTCGTTAATAATTTTTACACAAATTGAAGAAACACATAATTTAATTTAGATTTTCCTGAATTTGATTTAGGGTATGGCGCACAAGTCAGCCAACACTTTATATTATTATTTTGTTCTCTCATTTTTTTCACTTTAAGTCACTATTTCATATTCGTCTTTAACCCTATTGACTCTACTTTAAGGTATGGTATTACATGGTCCTAATCCAACTCCTACTGGGCTGTGTAATGATATTCGTGGGTAGGATATCCCACAAGGAGTGGCAGAACCTCGTCCCCTGCATTGAATCGCCTGAGGAGTTGAGCAACCAATTCAGCTTCGCCAACTCCGTGTGGCTTATTATTGGATCCGTCATGCAGCAAGGTTCCGAGATCGCGCCCATGTAAGTTGTTTACTTCTCTATTTGTTCCACAATATGGCCAAAGTGCAGCTCTGGATAGTTCATCTTTTTGAGAATTGAGAATTTTAATAAAACTACAAATATTTTGTTCCGGACACCTGGGATCGATGTTTCACAATCACAACCACTATGTCAGTAGGCATTGAACTAAACTTTACCTGAGCCGTACAAATAAAAGTAAACAATACTTTATTTCATCATCATCGTCATTTCAGCCACAGGACGTCCACTGCTGAACATAGGCCTCCCCCAATGATTTCCATATTGATCGATTGGCCTGCGTCCAGCGCCTTCCCGCCACCCTTATGATGTCGTCGGTCTACATTGTGGGTGGACGTCCCACGCTGCGTTTTCCGGTGCTTTCTTTACAAATAAATAATATAGTTTCACGGAAAAACTTTGAAATAAACGAGTCTTCAGTCATATCAAATCCGGGACATGTTGGCAAATAGGTAAAATAAATTTACCTTTTGTAGATTGATGGATTCAATTAGTAGAATGTCAGAGTTCTGCACCGGGTGATTCGGCTTAACCCCGATAGAGCTCCAAGCTCGGATTCCGAAAATCTGTTTGATTGAATCAATGTGGAATTCACGTACATATTGTTCAATTCATATACGAGGCGAATTTTCGAGAATGCGTGTCTGGCCTTTAAAATTATACAAAATTTAAAAATACCCTGAAGCTTTTTGTAACAATCCTATAGGTAGTTAGTGGAAAAGCTAATAAAAACATGAATTGACGGGTAGTAACAAAATGTTGTTTGCTTATGTCTAGCTATCTAGTCCTGCAAGTTTGCTGATGTTTTACAAATACCCTGTATGTCATGGGAACGAGCTAATCTCTCGAACCATAACTTGCTACTATTATGTATTCTGTGCCATAACTTAGTGACGTAATAATTTTAGATATCAACTGTTTTTTTCAGTGCTGTAGCTCCTCGAATGATCACTAGTATCTGGTGGTTTTTCACCATGGTCATGGTGGCTTCGTACGTTGGTACTTTGGTCGCTTTCCTCACGGTAGAGAAGAATGTCCTACCCTTCCAGAATGTGGAAGAACTTTTTAAACACAAGTCTATATCATATGGCGCGAAAGAAGGGGGTTCTACTCACGAATTTTTTGTGGTAAATACTGTTTCTTAATTATTTAAATCACTTTTCAATCTATTTTAATACGATACAAGTATTTTTCTGTTTGGCAGCAATCGAAACATGAAATATACAAGAAAATGAATCAGAAAATGACTGCTAAGGGTTGGCTTGTTCAAAGCAATCAAGACGGTGTGAACTTGTGAGTAGAATTTACAAAAAAAATATGACCTCTAATTTTATACATGACTAGCGGCCTCCCGCGACTTCGTACGCGAGTTGAATTTTGCAAAATCCCGTCTTAGTGAGCACCTACGTCCTAAAAGGAACCCCCATGCAAACTTTGAGACTCCTAGCGCTTGTAATTTCTGAAATTTCGTGATGAGTGAGTCAGTCAGTAACCTTTCGCTTTTACATTAGTAGATAAACACATTTTTTTATTTCAGAGTAGAAAACAGTACTTATGCATTTTTCATGGAATCGACTTCCATAGAATACACCAAACAAAGACACTGTGATTTGCTTCAAATCGGCGGATTACTCGACTCCAAAAGTTATGGGATTGGCATGAAGAAAAGTATGAATAGAAATATTTTATTTGCTTGAATTATGCGTTTCTTACTGGCAATTTATGTTAAATTTGTGTTTTAGATTCAACGCTTAAAGTTCATATTGACCGCGCGCTGTTGATGTTGAAGGAGAGGGGGGAGATAAAAAAGTTGAAGGATCTTTGGTGGAATGACAGGAGAGGGGGAGGAAATTGTGACGTAAGTAGAGTACTGACGACTATTATAAGTTGTTGCAATTCACGAAGGCGAGAGAGCTTTACATGTGTAATGAATGGCTCACTACTCGCTACTACGTCATGTACACGTACACACACAAGTAAATACTATGTAAAGTAAATGCTGTACGTCGTGGACGTAACTCATGTATGAAATACTCCTCTTAGATACTGATAACTTCGATCTCTTGTTAATTTGTTTAAAAATAGACTATTTTAGCATATTAAAAATTATATGACAAACTAAATAAATAAGTAGCTTTTGAGCTGCAGTAACTACCTATGTACTAATTATGTAAAAGTTAATTTACGAGCGAGAAACTCCGTAGAAAATTTACATGATTGAAAATGCCTGCCTTTCTGATCTTTAAAAAGTTCCAAGGTTTTAATATAATTATGTATTGTTGCAATACACGAAGGCGAGTGAACTTTACATGTGGTTAATCACATATTATTATGTGTGCGAACATTTAGTAATAAGTTGAAAGAACATTTTTGCCTCCTAGAATGAAGTCGCTGCAGAAGAAAAGCAGTTGGGCATGAAGAATATGCTGGGAGCATTCGTGGTGCTGGGTGTGGGCTGCTTGATTGGGCTCTTCATATCCACCTTGGACATGCTTTGGGGTGTCTTCAAACGCTCCGTCAAATATGGCGTAAGTATTACACTCCAAATACTACCTAAATCCGTATATTTTGGGCCAATGGCTTAAGTTACCCAGATTGACATAACAAATGATTTTTGAGTTGTCATCTTGTTTTCTTTCCTCATACCTACTTAGTAGCTCAAAAGCTCAAATTCCTCTAATTGAAAAAAAAAATAGGGCAAATAAGAAACATTAACGAATTTACAGAACTCTTGATTACTTACTTATAGTAAGGACCATTCGGAACTTTGAAACAGATAATGACTCCAAGCAAGTAGGTATATTATTGCTAAAGGATAATAATAAAAGAACTCTTGCTTACAGACAACCTTCAAATACGAGTTGGTAGAAGAACTCAAGTTCGCACTCAAGTTTAGTGGAGACGTGAAACCAGTTAAGCGGCCTGAGAAGACGGACGGTAGTCAAGAAGCTTTAGCCGAAGCTGAAAAGAAGGATGAAATCAAGTCTTTGAAATCCCTTTCACGAAGGTCCACTTCGACGCACAAGTCCCATCACTCCCACAGTTCTAGGCATTCGCCAAGAGATCTGAGTGTCGCTTTTGCTAAAAGAAGAGAATATTAGTAAGTTTAATTATGTTGATGTTTATTTTCCTATTTAATTTCATAAATAGTAAGTATCTAAGTGATTTTAGAATAAAAAAAATTATTGAGTTACTTGATTTTGTCGTAGTGTAAATAAGTATAATAAATTATAAAACATTCTAAAATTACTAATGATTTTGATTGCTCATAAACAGTTCCAAGTCCGGATTGGTCTAAATTCAACCAATTACAGAATATAAAACAAACGTATTGTGCTCTATCATCAAAATAACTAGCGTGTACTCCACCAAAATTAAACAATGATTTACTACTTTTATGAAGCTGCCAAAGAACTGATCTTAAATGACGGCCAAATCCACAGTTTTCTTCCACCTCGGCGTTCCAAATCGGCCACTTTCTTAGGCTTATGTTATGACTAATGACTAGTTTTTCTCTGTCTTTGTACTCCAGATTATTTACGATTATAGTCTAGTGTGATGCCAGAAAGATCTCATGTGGCCCATCAATTATGTCCCCGATGACCTCGGGTATGAAATAATGAGGACTCTGATGCTGCAATTCATCTGTATCAGGTTAAGCAACTTCCGATCCGACGTTGATTGAATGGATAATGAAATTAATATGCGGGCATTGATAAAAGACAGGGTATATAAGGTGTGATGTCCTCTAAAATTGATGAGATCAAAATAATATGAACTTGATAGAGATCCACAATCTTTTTTGTATAGCTTTACCTTTACAGGTGTGGTGTTTCAATATGCATTTCAACGCTCTCCTTTGTCGTCCTTGCGTTTTTTTTAATGCGTCATGCACATTATCGACCCGTGTAGGCGATGAAGTAGCAGTGGGGCTACCGTAGACTCAATTTTTCAGGGGTTCCTGACTTATACTTTGGGAAATACTGAGCTCCATGATAATGTTAAATGAAAGATTCAAACTGGTGACAGAAAAGTACTCAGCTTTATCAACCCATTCAATCTTCCACATTCCACATATTCAAATGTATCTGTAGCCTTATCAATTGTGATAAAGGAGTCTCCGAGAAACTCGAACGCTGAATTGAATGGCCCGTCCCTAGTGTGTATCGCAATACAACGCCTAAGCTGTAACTTGCAATATCGATTACTCGAATAGCGATGAAAAGTATCGATACGTACCTAATATACAAGGATTAATATAAGTGAGATTGCTGCTCGATGCCCGATTAGATGTTTGGCTTTTGGATGTTTTTACGAGTAACTCAATTTAAAAAAAATCTAAAGCTAACTCATAACATAGAAATATTATTTTCTTTTTCATATTTAGAGTTTAATACTGATACTGATATTTCATTGTCCAACGAGAAACGGACACCAGAGCTGCGACCACATCTTTTACCGCAGAGACCATTAGCCTAACAAATGATCTAGGAAAATCTCTGCGATATGTATGTAGCTCGGCTATGAGATGAAAAAGTTGAAAAAAAGTCTGTGCATTTTTATCTCTGGAACCGATTTTGCGACTAACGTAACCATACTAACCGTCTCACCGATGCGATGGTAAGAGATGATGAGATTAATGAAACAGATGTTGGGAAAGAATTTCATTCCTTTGCAGCATGAAGAAAGTAAAAAGGAGGCTTTTGTGACTAAGCACGCCATGTTATCCGATGGAGAAATAGATAATAATATAGTATTGTGAATTTGGTGTACAATATTTTTTGAAGTCTAAAAAATTAACCCGATCATGTCCTTTGAGTTTACGATTATGTACGATTTTATGAATCGATAAATGAAATAAATAACTCGTAGGTATCAACATACTAGCTTATCGTAAAAATATCGCATGACACAATTATCATCGTTACAAATTGAAGGTTTTGTTTACCGCAATACAAACTCGATTTGTATAAATGAGTATTCAAAATTCGTCAGAGCATTGGAATAAATTGAGGCCCGACTCTAATTTCGCCGACAAATATATTTTCTATTCAGATGAATGATTATTCAGTGAATGATAAATGGTGTTTGAATTCATAGGCCTTTATTTATTTATTAATTCGCCACAATCAAGATTATTTAAATGGTCCTTCTGTACTTAAGTACCAATCGTTGTCCTACATTACAATACAAAAATGTAAAGTACGTATTCGTTTTAAGGAAGTAATTATTGTGGAGAAATATTTCTGTTTCCTGGAAAATGTTAAGCGAAATTAAATATCCGATGATACTTTTATGAAAATTTTCGGAATTCGGCATTTAATTTGAAATGAAATTATTTAAATGGACTGATCAAATATTAATGATTATTTAATTAAATACTATTAAACCCCAAATTATACTACCTAAGTGTGTATAGTACCTAATCTTTATGAAATTATGCTTCACATAAGACAGCCTTATATGTCGGTCTAGCTAGATCACTATGGCTGACTAGGGTGATTTGCTCGATCCCAATCAGCACGTTCATTTGTAGTAGGTACCCTCCTCACCAGGCCACGTTATTGCTGACAACCAACCATTTCTCAAACTCGACCTAATTAAGTGTTCGGATAAGTGATTTGAAGTGTTTTCATCCAAGTCAATATTAATACTAAGTGATTTATTTCCTTCGCTAAATGTTCAATTTGATTCACGTCTCAAGGTAATCCTAGTACATAATATTTATATTATGTAGGTAGGTATGCCTGTAAAAGATCTAATTTCAGGAGCCTTCTTTCCTTTCGAACTACGACCCGAAAATTCCTTCCAGCTGTTCAATCAAGGACGTCATTTGGGACCCTTCTCACCACTGCCGGTTGACAACTGGCAATTTCTCAAACTGCCGTTTAATTAACCCCCCTACAACCGATATGCGCTGTTAATCATTGCTAAACCATGCTGAGCTTGAGTCTCGAGAGAGAAAGAGTAGTGATAAGACAAATTACTGCCAATATAATAGTATTTTCGCTCTTATTAAGAACTGCAGTAAGATTTATTTAGTTTGTTTAAATATTTCGAAATAAAAATAACTTCATGAAAAGCTAGGGTTAACTTTTATTTACCAGTCGGGGCATTGAATATTTATTTTGAATCAGTTAAATTTGATTTATTCGCAGGTCTCTGTTTACACGTGAAATACGATCTGACACGGTGGTAAATAAATTAATTTTGCCGTCCGATCGTTTATAAATATTTTGGTACCTTTAGGATACAGTAGTAAAACGGAAAGTAGGTTGTAGTTAAATAATCATTTCGCTAAATTTCGCACGTAACTTTGAGGACTGAGCTATAAAATTAAATATGTTTTACAACACACAAGGTACCAATGATAATTTGGGATATTTTCACAAATTGCTTCTACTATATTTCCTACTTTTAGCAATCTGTAACACATTGCTCATCCTCCTGCTATGGCAAGTGTGGTGCGAGTGCTCAGATCTTGGCGTCGGTGATGGGTCGACGACATCATCTTCTTCTTTCAACGATTCCGGATCTTCTGCTTTTTCTTCCTCTTCATCCTTCTTTGAGCCTCCTGATCCACTGCCGGTTGATTCCCGATGACGTACCGGCTTCACGTCACCACTGAAGCTGAAGATGAACTTCAATTCTGCTACTAGCTCTTCCCTGAATGATACCTGAAAGATCCAAAATTGATTTGATGATGGATAAAGAGAATATCGCCATTCTTACTTAACATGGGGTCTACTGTAAGATTGCCCATTAAAACCAATCAGTGAAAGCTGAGTTAGTCCCAGACTGAGAGCAAGATTGATCTGTCTTTGAACTCATAGAGGGATTTATCATTCATTTACCGTTTGGTGTATTGGTTCGAAACGCACTACTATTCCGGAGGTAGCGGGTTCGATTCCCGCACAGTACAAACATTTGTGTGCATGAACATATTTGTTTGTATTGGACTGGGTGTTTTCTATGTATAATAAGTATGACGTACCTATTTACCAAAAAAAAGTATTTAAGTATATTTATATCCGTTGTCTAGTACCCATAGTACAAGCTTTGCTTAGTTTGGGACTAGAAGCGCAGTGTAAAATAATGTCCAAGGATATTTATTTATTTATCAGACATAATTTCTTTAAAACAGTGGTAGCTATAAAACATTTGTGAACATTACCTTGCTTAGTAGGTAGAGAATCTCGTAGTAAGTATTGAATGAAATACAAGCTCGCCAGGATATGATTGAAGGGTTGTAAACTTGCAGGTGTGGGGGTCACACTGGATCATGCATAACTGGCGAATGAAAACATTAACTAGTCAAATTTAATTCTAGGATAAAAATTATTCTGGCATATTTCTCAAAAAATAGTTCTCAGAAAGAATGAATATGATACAGATAATTTTAGGTATTCGCTCACAATATTAATTTTCTATAATACCTATCCAATTACATCTGTTACCCACGAGTATCACGTAGGGTGTATTGCGTATTATAGAATCTGGTATTCAATATTAAAGAAAGGGTTACTAACAAAGTAAACTAAGGACTTCAAAGGGATAACATCCAAATGAGACGAATATTAAAAGCGTATTTGCCTTGTGTGTATGTGATATAGTCCAGACGTCGACAAGCATCTCCATGAATGCACATATGACGGCCATGGCGGATCCAGCGAGGAGGACGATGAAGACACCACCAACGTTGGCCAACACCAACGGTTGGGCATCGCCGCTGCCTGCGTCATCGTCCTGAGAAGGTAGTTAGAATTTTATATTCATGTTACTGTGGTTAACATAATTTTCTCACAGGTGATAATTTCCAAAGTTTTCAATAGATTGCTATAGAGAATAAAAAGAGTGGCAAAATAAAGGCCTCAACATAAAAAGAAGGATCCACGTTTCATACGAGATCCCCAATTCTGGAATTTAACAGTCAACGAATGACCAACGAACCTAAACTTAAATCTAATTGCAATTCAGTTCTATAATTAGGTTTAGATTAAGAGAAACCAATAATTAACACATTAAATATGCTTTTCTATGAGGATCGGTGGAAACACTGAAAAAATAACTTAAATCCATGAATAATTCTCCATGGTAAATAAATAAATACATCGATTACTGAAATATCAATAAACATTGTCTAGAAAAGTCAATAAAACTCAAAACTAAAC